CAGAGATTTGATGAAACATCACAGGTTTAAGCTCAGATCTGGTTGAATTTCCCAACAGAACCACATGTAGCACAGGATACATTCAAGGACCAGTTGAAGGCTCTTCTGTCTTCACAGTTTCTGGCTGACTACTGGACTCACTTTGGTGACTTTTGAAAAGGAAACCTGAATGTTTTCTTTCTAAGAAACCACAGAGATTTAAACCACTTGGAGGAAACATGTTGAATCCAGTTTTTTGTTTTTACATTTTGTAAAATAAATATTCAAAGATTGTTTCTTAGTTTTTTCTGATTCGTGTCATTCTGTGTTTATAACTGCAGTGAAAAACGAGACGGGAGCAGAAAACCACTGAGAAACTGGAGTTGGGAGGGAAACGCGATTAACGGAACAGTAACTGCCAATAATCGATCAGTGGTTGCAGTCGTCCAGGACAGGTGAGGGCAGGTGAGAGACTCTGTGAGCAGCAGTACCTGATGGAGGGGGAGGGGGGAGGCGTGGAGGTGATGCTGATCGGAGCTCCTGATTGGGAGGGAGGAGACCCCAGGATGATGTCGTCAGAGTCCACTGTGGAGGAGACGCAGCACATTTAGAGTCCACAGGAGGAAACTGACGGAGGCAGACAGGTGAGTCGGGCGTACCTGAGGTGGACAGGAAGTTCTGCTCCACGATGCCGACCTTCACCAGCTGACAACACACACAGACACACAACTCGGTTCAGTGTGAAACACACAAACACTGCTGCAGGAAGCTGCTGTTCCCATGGCAACCAGCAACATTTCTCACCCCGATGAAAGGAACAAACTTCTGGCAGGAGTCATCGTCAGGGCTGCAAGAACCAGAGAGAACATCTGGACGTCAACAACTCTGAGCAACGTCGGACACAGTTTGAATCATTTCAGACGCTTGCGAGTCACTCTGGACCATCTGGAGTGCTGTTGGACTGTTCTGAAGTTATGTTGGATGGATCTGGAGTCATTTTGGACAATTAGTGGTTTTCTGACAAGTCTTAAGTTGTTTTGAGCAGATTCTCAGTCATTTTGGAGACATAAAGCTTTTAGTCGTTTTGGATGAGTTTTTCTAACTTTCAGGCCGTGTTGAGTCATTCTGGACCATCTGGACTCACATGAGACCGCTGACCTGCAATCATCCTCAGAACATGGATGTAAAAACATAAAAAACAGGAAAAGACAAGAAGTCGGTCGAGTCTTTCTAGAGTGGAGTGTTGAGCAGGTGAGTCTGAGCAGTTTTTCAGAGGTCCAAGTTGTCCTGGTCCGTAGAGCTGGATCATGTTTGTTCTGACAGACTTTAGTGAGGACGGTCGTCTTGGCCTCGCTTTTCTGCTTCCACTACAGTTGTGTCTGGGTTCCACACACCTCTTGTGCTTGCAGGTGAGCATGGCCTCAGAGATCGGACACAGGTGAGACACAGCAGCTCCAGCCAGGTACTGAGACACCCGGCTGGCCACGCCCACTGGATCTGTCAGAGAGACACACACCTGAGATCACCAGTTTGTAACGAAGACACATGAGTGTGTGGACGCAGGAATAATGAACAGAGTCCTGCA